TGTGTGTGTGTGTGTGTGTGTGAGAGAGTGTGCGCGTTTTTGTGACAAAAACACAGCAAGCCAAATATACATCACCATACTTCAGCTAATTATATGTAAGCGTGAACTCGTGAAACACACACTCATGCATTACTGAACTTTGATTAAAAAATCCAACAGGTGGTGAATCGTCAGAAATTAAATGTTCTGCCAACCTGTGATGAAATATATAAATTAATTTACTAGGGCCGGGATTTCACACAAATTTCACAATTTGATTCGATTATCCTTCACAAGCTTGCAATCCGATTCAATTCTGAAATTCTGATTGTTCAGTTCAATATGGATTATTTTGGATATATATCAGGTACAGGACATGGCAAAGTTTCTCGAGGAAAAGAGGAAAAGAAATGCTGTAAAATATACCTGAGCGTCAATGATATGGAAGCCTGAAATTTGCTGATTTGTATGCAAACACTTAAAATATACTCAAGGTTTTTGTAATATTAAAGTTATAATACTAACTTTAACTTTAAATTACATAAGTATATTTCTACATCAATTAGTTTTTTGAAATATAAATATTTAAATGGTGGTTGCACAAAAACTTTATTCAAACATGAATTAAATATTGTAGAACAGATAATGAATATGTTATATGGTGCATATTTAGCAAAATGCTCCTCTCTAGAGTTCATTCTTCTATCTGATTAATGAGTTCATGCTCACCGAATCTGTTTTTCTGTGGTAAATGTGACGTTACGTGACACATTGTCGACAGCTATTGTCGTCTTTCCGCGTTTAAAACACTGATTGAGTGATTACATGAGGCAGGAGACGGGAGGATTTCGGTTAGCTGTACTCTTTCTTTTAACAAACCTTCGGATGTTCATTCATGTTTATTTCTTGCTGCTATTAAAGCAGAGGAGATGATCTCTCACTCCACATTAAACAGCACCAAAACGGCATTTAATATTTTAATATTGTAATAAAATGGACAGAATTTGAAATCTGAGACTTTGTTTCATATCAAAAGTAACAAATCACAACGCTTATTGCAATTTATTGGATGGGAGGTGCGCTACAATGTTTCGTTCATAATCTGACAGGCTAGACTAATCGATTCTTGGGATTTATGAATCGATATAGTTTTATAAAAATGAGAATCCATTAAAATCGAGAAATCTATTATTTTGTACCCAGACCTAGTTTTCAGTGGACTTTAAATATTTGCTTTGCTTGAGAAAACATGAAAATGTTTTTTTTTTTTACAAATGTAAAAAAAAATTATTTACAGTTTAGACTTTTTTTTTAAATTTGATTTAATCGAATTAGTTTTGCGTCAAATACAATGTGATTTTTGGTAATCGAGATCTGGCAGTAACCACACATTTTCACTCTTGGACGAGCGTTTCAACAGCTTTTCTTGGATATGAAATCCAAGAACCAATGAGAACACGGAACAAATATGACGATTCACTGCAATAGAGTGTAATATTTCATACGCTCCATGTATGTACACTGATCAGTTTTTATATGAATAAAAGTCTAAATTAAATCTGTTCATTGACATCTTTTACGATATCTATGAATTTGAAAGCATCAAGGTTTTGGTATAATGGACTTTGGGACAGAAATTTATCAAGTTTTATTAAAAATGCAATCATCATTAGCAACATAAATCACCACCTTAGGACCAGTGCAGCTGACTTCAGATTAGAACTGGCCTACTCAATTACACATCAGTCCTGTACAGCTCTAAATGCTACAGAGCAGAACACACCAATTTAACATTTTAAAAAAAAAGTACATTGCATCAGCATGGGGGCTAACAGAGCACTCAATGCTCTTGGCACACAGTCAAGCTGGGAGGCCCCTGGGTGAACCCCTCCAAACTCATTCCACTTTCTGTGTGTGTGTGTGTGTGAGTTTGTGTGTGTGTGTGTGTGTGTGAGAGAGTGTGCGCGTTTTTGTGACAAAAACACAGCAAGCCAAATATACATTACCATACTTCAGCTAATTATATGTAAGCGTGAACTCGTGAAACACACACTCATGCATTACTGAACTTTGATTAAAAAATCCAACAGGTGGTGAATCGTCAGAAATTAAATGTTCTGCCAACCTGTGATGAAATATATAAATTAATTTACTAGGGCCGGGATTTCACACAAATTTCACAATTTGATTCGATTATCCTTCACAAGCTTGCAATCCGATTCAATTCTGATTGCGATTCAGTTCAGTTCAATATGGATTATTTTGGATATATATCAGGTACAGGACATGGCAAAGTTTCTCGAGGAAAAGAAATGCTGTAATGCTGTAAAATATACCTGAGCGTCAATGATATGGAAGCCTGAAATTTGCTGATTTGTATGCAAACACTTAAAATATACTCAAGGTTTTTGTAATATTAAAGTTATAATACTAACTTTAACTTTAAATTACATAAGTATATTTCTACATCAATTAGTTTTTTGAAATATAAATATTTAAATGGTGGTTGCACAAAAACTTTATTCAAACATGAATTAAATATTGTAGAACAGATAATGAATATGTTATATGGTGCATATTTAGCAAAATGCTCCTCTCTAGAGTTCATTCTTCTATCTGATTAATGAGTTCATGCTCACCGAATCTGTTTTTCTGTGGTAAATGTGACGTTACGTGACACATTGTCGACAGCTATTGTCGTCTTTCCGCGTTTAAAACACTGATTGAGTGATTACATGAGGCAGGAGACGGGAGGATTTCGGTTAGCTGTACTCTTTCTTTTAACAAACCTTCGGATGTTCATTCATGTTTATTTCTTGCTGCTATTAAAGCAGAGGAGATGATCTCTCACTCCACATTAAACAGCACCAAAACGGCATTTAATATTTTAATATTGTAATAAAATGGACAGAATTTGAAATCTGAGACTTTGTTTCATATCAAAAGTAACAAATCACAACGCTTATTGTGATTTATTGGATGGGAGGCGCTACAATGTTCCGTTCATTATCTGACAGGCGAGACTAATCGATTCTTGGGATTTATGAATCAGTATTGTTTCATAAAAATGAGAATCAATTAAAATTGAGAAATCAATATTTTTTACCCAGCCCTATAATTTACAGATTTATTTACTGTAGATGACATTTCAAACACTTTCAGTCTTTTTGTTTTTCTTTTTTTCATTTGCTTTCTTTAATTTGTTCTTTTTGTTTATTTTTTGTTTTCCTTACATTCTCTTTGTTTCGTTATTTCATTTTCTTTCGTTTCTTGTTGATTTTCTATGTTTTTGTTTATTTCCTTTTTTTCTTTCTTTCTTTTTTTCTTTCTTTTTCATTTTGTTTTTCTTTGGTTCGTTTTTCCTTTAGTTTTATTCCGTTTTGTTTTCTATTACTTGTTTATCTTTTTTTGTTTGTTTAATTTTCTTTATTTTTTCTTATGTTTTTCTTTCTTTCTCTTTAAGGCCAATAAACCTCATTTTGCAGACAAGCCTTACTAAACCAACATTCTAAGATTATCTTGACAAACGTTCAGTTGCATTTTGAATTCTGAATTTTGCAATTCTGCAACCTTTTTGTTAAATCGATTAAAATTTAGAAATTCAGTTGGAATTTAAAGGCATTCTCAACTCAATTCTGAATGGAGACAGTAATGGATGACATGATTGTGTTTGTGTAGGATAATGACGATGAATCAGAGGAACTGCCTGCATACGGCGATCAGGGGCGGGGCGATGAGCAGGATGGGTGTGGCTCTCTGGAGCCCCTCCCCAAAGAGAAGCGAGTGTCACTGCTGATGGAAGAAGACCCCGCCTTCCGCAGGGGCCGCATGCGCTGGATCAAACAGGAGCAGTTGCGTCTGCACAACCTGCAGCAGCAGCAGATCACCAAGCGTCTGCGCAGAGGGGGCGGAGCCGGGGGCGGGGAGGGCGTGGTCCACCTTCCTGGAACAGGTCGCTTCATTCCCCCTCAGGACTGCAAGCTGAAATTCCCCTTTAAGAGCAACCCGCAACACCGGCTGTCCTGGGGCCCGAATGTGTCCGTCACGGTGGATGACCTCAAGGATGATCGCAACGAGGGACGAGGCCCCGCCCCCGGCGTGCCATTACTTCCTCTACCTTTCCAAGTGCCGGTTGTCATGCGCGCGCCCTCCCCCAGTCTCCCCTGGCAACCTCGCCAATACAGCAATGGTAACTTTGGCAATGGCAACTATGGCAACGGCAATCCGTTTCCTCCGCAGCAACAGTGGCACTACAGGCGCAACTCACTGGACAGCAGCACCGTGCCTGGCAACCAGGGTTACTATAGCAATGGGCACCACAACAATAATGGCTCACAGCATACGGGACGCGGTCGCTATCGGCGACAATCGCCGGGCCCTTGCACACGTGGGGAGGGGGCGTACATGCAAATGTACGTCAATCATCAGCGGCCCGCCTTCCAGACCTACCAGACTCTACCGCACACGCTCGCGGATCAACAGCACGGCAAAAACCAAAAACCGCAGGGCTACGTCACCCCGCCACGCATGAGACGGCAGTACAGCGCCCCCGACCTGAAGAGTAAAGAAACGCCCATCTGATGTGTGCGTGTGACCGTTGTTTTACTGCCGTTCACTTATGATGTCATGAATACAAGCCGTGTTGTTTTGATAGTTAGTTAACAGTCTCCTGTAGGCAGACTATCAGTAGAAAGAGTTAATTCTGGCCAAGAACCGCCCACTTTAGACAGGAAGAGAGTGTCTGAGTGACAGTTAAGACCCGTTCGCAACGAGAACAATAACTATGACGATGAAGGTTTAATATTCATTCTAAAGGTGCGCTCACATTTACTGTAGTTCTGCTAATTTTTGCAGGCGAAATCAAGTTGTTTTAATAGGAATCTACGGGATTGGGTTATAGTTATCATTCTTGGTGTGAACGGGCCTTTAGACTCCTGGGCATCCAATCAGATTAGAGCTTGTGATTTTTGGAAAGCTCTCATTATTTTAAGTGCAGTATGCATGTATGGGCGGTCCGAAACTAGTTAACCCAAACTGACCCAAACTCTGCACAGTCGCCACGTCACTACTCCGTCTGTGTGTGTTTTTGCTGTTGTTCAGGATCACGTACCTCTCCGCAATGACTCGGCCCAGGACTAGTTTTGCATTAGTTTTGGGTGTTTGTATGTTCAGCCTCAATGTGCCTTATTGAGATGCCAATAACCTCAGAACTCACTGAAGGAAACGCCATGGGAGTGTGTGAGTGTGTGTGACGCTGATGATTTACTGTGTGAGATGTGAGATGCAGGAGAAATTTCTGATGCCTGATTCATGGATATGGTTCTTTTGAACTGGTTCTTGCTAATGATTCATTCACCTGATTCACAACAGAACAACTCAAATCACCTTAAAGGAAGGTTCCAGTTACAGTACATGTTCAGATGCTGTTCGTCACCAGCTAGAATCATTTGACTCACCCTTAAGTGTTTATTTTATTTTAGTCTTTTAACTTTTTTTTTCATTGCATTGCAGTAATGGTCTTTAGTGTAATAAACTGAGCCAGATGATCAATGTTAATCTACACAAGACTTCATCCCACTCGTCGATTCACCTCGTTTACAGCTCAAATAATGAACATTTAATCAGAAATGTTTAATCTGAGAAGAAAAAAAACTTCTGGAAACATCACTGAATGACTTACTTCCTCTACCTTTCCAAGTGCCGGTTGTCATGCGCGCGCCCTCCCCCAGTCTCCCCTGGCAACCTCGCCAATACAGCAATGGTAACTTTGGCAATGGCAACTATGGCAACGGAAATCCGTTTCCTCCGCAGCAACAGTGGCACTACAGGCGCAACTCACTGGACAGCAGCACCGTGCCTGGCAACCAGGGTTACTATAGCAATGGGCACCACAACAATAATGGCTCACAGCATACGGGACGCGGTCGCTATCGGCGACAATCGCCGGGCCCTTGCACACGTGGGGAGGGGGCGTACATGCAAATGTACGTCAATCATCAGCGGCCCGCCTTCCAGACTCTACCGCACACGCTCGCGGATCAACAGCACGGCAAAAACCAAAAACCGCAGGGCTACGTCACCCCGCCACGCATGAGACGGCAGTACAGCGCCCCCGACCTGAAGAGTAAAGAAACGCCCATCTGATGTGTGCGTGTGACCGTTGTTTTACTGCCGTTCACTTATGATGTCATGAATACAAGCCGTGTTGTTTTGATAGTTAGTTAACAGTCTCCTGTAGGCAGACTATCAGTAGAAAGAGTTAATTCTGGCCAAGAACCGCCCACTTTAGACAGGAAGAGAGTGTCTGAGTGACAGTTAAGACCCGTTCGCAACGAGAACAACTATGACGATGAAGGTTTAATATTCATTCTAAAGGTGCGCTCACATTTACTGTAGTTCTGCTAATTTTTGCAGGCGAAATCAAGTTGTTTTAATAGGAATCTACGGGATTGGGTTATAGTTATCATTCTTGGTGTGAACGGGCCTTTAGACTCCTGGGCATCCAATCAGATTAGAGCTTGTGATTTTTGGAAAGCTCTCATTATTTTAAGTGCAGTATGCATGTATGGGCGGTCCGAAACTAGTTAACCCAAACTGACCCAAACTCTGCACAGTCGCCACGTCACTACTCCGTCTGTGTGTGTTTTTGCTGTTGTTCAGGATCACGTACCTCTCCGCAATGACTCGACCCAGGACTAGTTTTGCATTAGTTTTGGGTGTTTGTATGTTCAGCCTCAATGTGCCTTATTGAGATGCCAATAACCTCAGAACTCACTGAAGGAAACGCCATGGGAGTGTGTGAGTGTGTGTGACGCTGATGATTTACTGTGTGAGATGTGAGATGCAGGAGAAATTTCTGATGCCTGATTCATGGATATGGTTCTTTTGAACTGGTTCTTGCTAATGATTCATTCACCTGATTCACAACAGAACAACTCAAATCACCTTAAAGGAAGGTTCCAGTTACAGTACATGTTCAGATGCTGTTCGTCACCAGCTAGAATCATTTGACTCACCCTTAAGTGTTTATTTTATTTTAGTCTTTTAACTTTTTTTTTCATTGCATTGCAGTAATGGTCTTTAGTGTAATAAACTGAGCCAGATGATCAATGTTAATCTACACAAGACTTCATCCCACTCGTCGATTCACCTCGTTTACAGCTCAAATAATGAACATTTAATCAGAAATGTTTAATCTGAGAAGAAAAAAAACTTCTGGAAACATCACTGAATGACTTAAATCAAGAACCACTTCATTGAAACGAACCTGCCGAATGAAATGATTCAGACTAGAGGAGAGAAATGAGATGAGAAATGAGAAACACATAAGTGTGATGGGCTGGAACAAGTTTACGCTGATGACTGACAGCTGTCAGTCACTGATGATGATGATGATGGTGAAAGTGATGTGGAGAGTTCAAAGGTCAATGAAATGGACATGTGGAATAAAGATGCTAGGTGTGTGAGTTTTAGAGTTGATGTTTTTTAGGATTTCTGTTGGGTTTTTTAAGTGAGTGAACGTGCTGATGACATGTTTTAAACTTAATCAGAAGGCTGAAATATTTTGACTATTTATTTGGAATATGAGTCCTGTGCCTTTGTGCCACAGACAGTCGTTTTGAACACAGTTCAACATTATTTTTGAGTGGCAGATTTAAATCAGTCCTGCTTGCGTGAGGCTGCAGTGGTGCATCATGCTGGATGCTCAGAATCTCAGTAGAGAATCGCACTGAAAAGTCCCACTGGAAAATCTCACTGGAGATTCCCGTTGGAGAATCTCTCTCAGAAGAGTCTCACTGGGGAATTTCTCTAGAGATTCTTAAAAAGATTCCCACCAGAGATTCCCACTGGAGAATCTTAAGAAGAGACTCACTGGAGATTCTTAAGAAGATTCCAACAGAGATTCCCACTGGAGATTCTTAAGAAAAGTACCACAGAGATTCCCACTGGAGATTCTTAAGAAGATTCCCACAGAGATTCCCACTGGAAGATCTCTCTATAAGAGTCTCCCTGGGGAATTTCTCTAGAGATTCTTAAGAGGATTACCACCAGAGATTCCCACTGGAGATTCTTAAGAAGATTCCCACAGAGATTCCCACTGGAGATTCTTAAGAAGAGTTTCACTGGAGATTCCCACTGGAAGATCTCTCTATAAGAGTCTCCCTGGGGAATTTCTCTAGAGATTCTTAAGAGGATTACCACCAGAGATTCCCACTGGAGATTCTTAAGAAGATTCCCACAGAGATTCCCACTGGAGATTCTTAAGAAGAGTTTCACTGGAGATTCCCACTGGAAGATCTCTCTATAAGAGTCTCCCTGGGGAATTTCTCTAGAGATTCTTAAGAGGATTACCACCAGAGATTCCCACTGGAGATTCTTAAGAAGATTCCCACAGAGATTCCCACTGGAGATTCTTAAGAAGAGTTTCACTGGAGATTCCCACTTGAAGATCTCTCTATAATAGTCTCACTGGGGAATTTCTCTAGAGATTCTTAAAAAGATTCCCACCAGAGATTCTTAAGAAGATTACCACAGAGATTCCCACCAGAGATTCCCACTGGACATTCTTAAGAAGATTGCGACCAGAGATTCTTAAGAAGAGTTTCACTGGAGATTCCCACTTGAAGATCTCTCTATAATAGTCTCACTGGGGAATTTCTCTAGAGATTCTTAAGAAGATTACCACCAGAGATTCCCACCGGAGATTCTTAAGAAGAGTTTCACTGGAGATTCCCACTGGAAGATCTCTCTATAAGAGTCTCACTGGGGAATTTATCTAGAGATTCTTAAAAAGATTCCCACCAGAGATTCTTAACAAGATTACCACAGAGATTCCTACTGGAGATTCTTAAGAAGAGTCTCACTGGAGATTCTTAAGAAGAGTCTCACTGGAGATTCTTAAGAAGAGTTTCACTGGAGATTCCCACTGGAA